GCACATCCGCAGCAACAGGCAGCCCGAAGAGCCGCAGACAGAGGGGCAGGGCCACTTCGGCGACCACTACGCCGTATTTGACAAAGTCGGCAACGGTACGCACCCTCCCACTCACTCGCCGACAGAGAGACAGATAGACAGACACTACACAAAGAGGGACAGATGTTTGTGTCGCGTCATTTCTCTGTCTCAATCTGTATCCGTATGTCTGTCTGTCTGTCTGTCTGTCTGTGTGCAGGCAAGGAGCTCGAGGACGTGATTTTCGACTCGACGTGTGGCAGCGACGACTACGGTGCCGTGGTGGGGGTCAACGTGCTGCTGTGCATGCTTGGGCTGCACGCCCTGGGCGTGACGCACAACGACTACCACTACGGCAACCTGCTGGTGGCGGACGAGGCCACCGGCGGGCTCAAGGTCATCGACCTGGAGAGCCTGCGCAAGGTCGTGTGGGCCCGACACCCCACAGCAAAATGCAGAGAGGACGGCACGCCCGGCCCCCAGCCGCCCACCCGCTTCCTTTCCCTGCAGAGCCACCCGGCCCCGCCGAACCTGTCACTGCACCACCTGCAGACGTGGGCGAGGGGCGACGGCTACGAGTGGGGCTATGACGTCAAGGAGGTCAGCGACTACACCCCCGCCACATTCGCCGTGAACGAGGAGAGGAAGCTGCCGGTGTCCGCCGGGCACCTCCGCCATTTCGCCACCGACAAGCTGCAGGCCGTGCTGCACCACTTCAGGCACCTCGCCGAGGCGGACCTGGGCGACGAGGCCGCCAGGCGTGCGGTGGGCATGTACCAGAGGGCCGTGGCGGACATCAGGCAGGAGGCCCGGCGGCTGTCGACCACCGAGCGGCAGGAGCGCGCCGTGGCGCTGTGGGCCGAGTGCTGCAGCAGCGACGACAAGGGCCGGCCACCAGAGCCCTCGGTGCTCAAGCAGCTGGTGCGGCAGTACTGCGACGAGACCATCGCCGACGTGTGTGTGAGTGTGAGGGTGGAGGCCTACCTCCAGATGGCCCGTGCCTACTAGATTAGAGGGTGGACTGACTTATCGACCGATCGCAGCCGCACGTGGGATGGGATGGGGTGGGGAGAGGGACGGTGCGGTGTGTGCAGTCGGTGGTGTAGTGGAGTGAAGTCAGGGCAGGCCAACGGGTGGGTGCAGCGGGCGTGGCGAGCCGAGCCACATGGATGCGGTGCGTCAGAGGGCAGTAGTGAAGCCCGACAGACAGACAGACAGACAGACAGAGAGACGCTGACTACGACAAGTGTGGCCTCAGCCGCCATCGCTGCCTGCGTTTTATATTCCGTAGTCCTTTTGATTCATGTCTCGCGTGGATTTGTCGGCTAATTCCCAGCGTGGGAGTGACCTACGGGCTAATTAATGCTTGCTTGCTCGTGAAGACACACACATGTCCTTCACGGTGCACAAGAGAGAAGTCAACCGTCCGTCAGCTTATCATCCATCCATCCATCCATCCAATTATCCACTCAAGAATGTGCTATGCGTTTCTCTAGAAACACGACGCACCCCACCCGCACCCTTTACGGCTCTCTCCTCGTCGCATCAGCGATCAGTGTCACGTCATCTGCCGTGAGTTGGTCCTGCCCATCGGCATGTGGATGGACGGCGGCAGCGTTGACGGATCGATCTGCAGCTTCTCCATCTCGTCCTGCAGACACGCCATCGGCACACACGTCATGCACTCCTCTCTCTGTCCCCTGCTGTGTCTGTCCGTGTGTGGCGGGTGCCTACCTTGTCGAATGCGAGCAGTGTGGCGAGCACCGGCAGGAGGGCCTTCTGACGGCTGTCGGTGAACCGGCTGCGGCTGCCGTACTCGGCGTACCTAACACAGCCACACGCGGGGAGAGACGGAGATGGAATGAAAGGCTTATCTCTCTCTCTCCCGCCCTTCCTCCCGGTGTGTGGTTGGCTGACTTGAAGACGACCGACTTGAGGTAGTCCATGTTGACCTGCGATCGGCTGCTGCCGCCCTCCAACTCACGGATGCGCGCCTGCACAGATGGTGATACATACAAGCAAACGCGTGATGCCTTGTGTGTGCTGGGGGCCTGTGTATGTGTGTGTCTCGTGGTCACCTTGAGCACTTTCTCCTGCTGCTGGCCCAGAGCAATGGTCCGGTCCGCTTCCTAACCAGATCAACCGCATACACACACTCTCCCCACGTCACCCTCTCCCTCTCGTCGTCTATCTCACCGCGAGCGTCTGCCGCATCTCTGCAAGTTTCATCTCGGCCCTGGCCTGCCGCTCTGCCACATCGTCCAGGAGCATCAGGTCCTGCAGCGTCGCGTCAGGGTAGCCCATCCCATTGCCGCCCACACCGACGGCGTCAAACGGGGCGAGAGGGGGGAGGGGGGGAGGGGCTGCTGCTGCTGCTGCTGACGCTGATGATGATGACGTTGCTGCTGCTGGTGGGGGTGAGGGTGATTGTGAAGGAGCTTGGGTGGTCGGTTGGGGCGGGAGTGGGGCGGGGCTGAGTTGGAGACGGGCTTTGAGCTTCTCCTGGTCCCGGAGCAGCTCCCGACACTGACAGCCAAGGGACAAACGGTGGTAGCCAATCCGAATCGATCGCCCACCCAGCCACCCAGCAACGTACCTGTGCCTTGGTGGTCTGCAGCTCTTCCCTCAGCTTGTCCCTCTCACTCCTCAGCCTGGCCGCCTCCTTCTCCCTCTCATTGGCGTCCCCAGCCGCCTGCACACCCATCTCTACACACACTGCAGGCGCTGTGCGCGGCTGGAGGTCCGCATCGTCCGACTCCTCCCCTCCCCCTGTCTGGACGCCGCACGACTGCGTCTCCACCTCCCTCTCGATGTCTTCATCCGTGTCTGAGACGGGGTTGCGTGGCTGGAGGCCTGTTGTTGGGGCGATGTGGTGATGGCCGTGGCCGTGTGGCCGTGCCTTGAGGTGCGAGAGGAGCAGCTGGGCCTTCTCCTTGTGTATCTGCTGGAGGGACGCCTCCAGATCCTTGACGCGAAGGTCCAGCTCGTTCTTCTCGTACAACACCTGATGATAGCCACATGCCACATACGCACACACAAGGGAAACATGGGTGGGTGCTGACCTATTTGCCTACCTCTTCCATCTGCTGCTCGTGCGTTTTGATGGCCTCTCGTGCGGCCGTCTGCACAGCCGCGATCGACTCGCTGCTCAGCTCCTCATACGCCATCCACTTGGCTCGCAGGAGGTCGAAATCCAGCCCACCAGACCTGCTGCCAGCTCCCGCCCCTGATGCTGAGTGCTGCAGCATGTGGGCAATGCTTGTGTCGTTGGGGAAGATCATCTGCAGGAACTGCAGGATCGTCTCCCGGTCCTGCAGGCTCCGACTCACATACTCGCGAAGCTCACTGCATTCACACACTCAGACATGGAGTGCACAGGAACACCGCCGACATGAACCTCCGCGTACCTAAAGAGCAGCTGCAGCTGCTCCAGATCTAGGCTCTCTTGGCTGCCGCCGCCACCCTTATCATCGCTACCAGAAGGCGCCTGCACCAGCGGGTTCGCCCTGAACACGCCGGTGTGCCCCTCGTGCACCGTGATGGCCGCGACGAAGGGCGTGACGGCCTCCTCGAGCAGCCGCTTCTCCTTGACGACCTTGACATACCCCTCCTCGGCCTTGAGCAGCTTGTTGGTCTGGCTCTTGAGGCCTTTTTCTTTTCGCTTGAGCAGAGTGATGAGTGTGTCACGGTCGATGGTGTCAAGCGACAGAGGGCCGTTGGCAGCCGACGACGAGGAGGCCGATGTGGACGACGTGCTGGCAGAGGCGGCCTGCATGGCTCGACGGTGAGGAGACTCTCGAGATCACTCACATGTCAGATGAGATCAAATGGATGTTGGAGATCTGCGCAGCATAGTGGCAGACTATTCATGCTGATCAGGTGTGGTGTTCGGGAAGTCCCTCCCGTTTGCGAGCTTAGATTTCGCAGCCGGATGCTCATCGTTGCTGCCTTCGTGCTTGTTGTGTCCTCTGCTGCAGCACACGCCATCGCCTTCACGCATCTTCTTCGATTCGCCAAGCGAGCCCGTCGGAGAGATCCTTCACGCGGTGTTCATCGACTGATCCATCGCAGGACGACGATGGCGACAGATGGTGACGTAGAGAAGCCCGCCAGGCTGGACAGAACCATGTGAGGGACGTCACGCAGCATGGATGTGCATCGCGCTTGTGGTGTATGCGGCGTTGGGTGTGTGTGTCAGGTTTGATTCAACGCTCCCTCTGACTGCCCTGCGAGTGCCAGCACAGTGCTGCAACGCCATCATGAAAAACCCGACAATGAAAAAGTAATCAATCACTCTTGCCGTGACAAACACAATGGGCTCTACTGTATGTGCCGGTCGGTCTGTCAGCGTTCTTCTTCGGCGCCCGAAGCTCCGGTCAGTGGTGGAGGATGCCCAGGACATGACCAAGCGGCTGGTGCTGCTGGCCGAGAACGTCACTAGTGACCTCTCAGAACTTCCCGACAACGCCGTCAGCTTCCTGGCCAGCCAGGTGTGCCCGCAGGCCGCGAGCGGCGAGGTGGATGACAAGAGGGCGGAGCTGCGGCAGATTGCGGTAGAATATGGCCTCAAACTCACCTATGCGGACCTCTCAACAGGTGGGAAAGGAGGCCCTCCGACCGCATTTGTCCATGTGTGTGTGGGTCTGTGGTCGTGCAGAAGAGGTTTTTCGTCGCGTGTTGCCTGCGTGTGGTGAAGACCCGCCCACCGCGTTCGAGACGATAGGGCACATAGCGCACCTCAACCTGCGGGAGCAGTGGCTGCCGTACAAACACATCATCGGACAAGTCATTCTCGATGTACGTGACATTGCCGCGTCGCTCTTGCGAACCCCACCTGCTTGCTCCATTCGTGTCTGTGTGTGGTCGATCAGAAGAATCCAGGGTTGCGTACGGTGTGCAACAAGGTGTGCACTCTCGCCAACACCTTCCGCACACCCGAGCTGGAGCTGCTCGCTGGCCAGGAGGACTTCGTCGCAACTGTGGTGAGTGAGCTCGCTGCACGACACGACCACAGCTGATGATGATTGAGGCCATTCATCCATCCGTTGGCTGTGGTATGGATGCATTGCATTGCGTGTATAGCGGGAGAGTGGTCTCGCCTTTGAGGTGGACTACGCGAATGTCTATTGGAACTCTCGGTGAGCGAGGGCCAGCGGAGAGACGAGCACAAAGAGTGAGTGCACCGAGTATATTAACACGTGGCGGACGGGGGGCGGCTGTGCTGTGTCAGGTTATCGAATGAGAGGAGCCGCCTGGCAGACCTGATACCGAGAGAAGACACCGTATGTAAGCGAGCAGCAGACCAGATGCACCACCACACCGTCTCGACAGCTGGTGTCGGCCAGGTGACATGTTTGCCGGGGTGGGTGCCTTCGCCATGTACCTCGGTCGGAAGGGCTGCCGTGTCCTTGCCAACGACCTTAACCCTGTCGGCGCAAAACTCATCACCACAAACGCACAACGCAACAGAGTGGGTCGGACACGCTCACGGGCCACATGCTCGATGCCTGAACCGTCGCGTCCGTCGGTGTGTCCTGACGTCTGCAGGTGTCTGCAAATGTGACGAGCTTCAACATGGATGCACGCGCCTTCGTCCGGCACTGTGCGCGAGAGGAGGGCCTTGGTCTGTTTGACGCCAGCAGCCGGCCACTGCGGCTGCATTTCGTCATGAACTTGCCCGAGCTCGCCATCGACTTCCTCGGTACACTCACACACACATACACCACACGTGGGTGGAGGGCTGTGTTTGTGTGGTGTGTGGTGTCTATGCAGACGTGTTTCGTGGCATCTACAGGGTAGCCACGGGACGTGACGCCCCCTCTGACCCCGGTAGCCCCTCTGCGGGCCTCCCCCGCCTCTCTGTCCACTGCTACTGCTTCGCCAAGACAGACCCACCAGAGGACGAAATACACGTACGTAGCCAGCAAATGGGCCAACGCCGTCGTGTCTGTACTCTGTGTCTATCTGCCTTTCTGCCTGTAGCCGCGTGTCGAGGCTGCTCTTGGGATGGTGCCGCCAGAAACACGCTTGACCGAGGTCAGGGAGCAGGAGACGACGCACACATGATGCACGTGCCTCACCATCACGTGTGCGTGCGTATGTGTCATTGATCATAGGTTCGGGACGTGGCGCCTCGGAAGCGGATGTATTGCGTGGAGTTTGACGTGCCGCCCGAGGTGGCATGGGCAGAGCATCCAGCGGAAAGCCGCACAGACGGGGAGGGGAAGGGGGACGGAGGGGAGGGGCAGACAGAGGCAGGGCCAGGTGTGGAGGGGGAGGGGGAGCCGGTGCTCAAGAAGGCAAGGAGAGACTGATGGATGGATGGATGGATGGATGGGCTGCTGTCGTGGAGTGCCACACGAGCGTGTCTCAGCACCATCGTTTTTTGCACGTGGTCAACCGGACCGCCCGTTGAACGATCTGCTCGCGCCACGGGCGATCCCATTGAACACGTTTAGCAAACGATGTGTCTGTGTGCTCTTGCTGTTGATGGGTTGTGTAAGTGTGTCATGATACGGCGACGATGAGGACATGTGTTATTGCGTCCTCGAGCTCCCACGCCTCTGTCGTGTGTCTACCTGCGCACACGTACGGATAAGTGGATGAATGAGGGTGCATTCGCACGAGTCGTCCGTGGGCACAAATGGACGAACGACAGAGACGCCTTGATGGCGATGGCACACATCATTTACCGTCCAGTGACCTCACTCACTCAAGCACTCATATACAGACGTGTGGCTGAGTTCACTGAACATAGATTTCCATCGAGGACACGCCCCAGCTCTCCTTGTCAGCCGAGACGCCCTTCATCGTTGACCCTGACACACACACGTGACACCACACACACATCGCAGAGAGACATGGAGGCACCAATCTCCTCTCCCTCTCCCTCTTTGTGGTTACCGAATGCGATTGTGATTTGGTCTGCCGTGTGTGTGAATGAGATGTCGATGGGCACAGCGAACTTGCCCTCAGACACCGACGGATCCCCACACACATTCACACTACACACCGGACACACAGAGACAGAGAGATGCACAGAGGACATGCCATCCATCCATCTGTCTGTCCGTCCATCCGTCCGCGTACCCGTCTTGCTCATGGTCTTGGCTGTGCCTCTCCGTCCACACGTGGATGAGCTCTCCGCTGCGGCCGACGTCCGCACGCATGAAGCCCGTCTCGCCGATCCACGCGTCGATGAAGTGGTACGTCGCTCGGATTCGGATGTGCGAGTGGGGCGGCAGACCCTTGAAGACCTTCGACACCTCACCCTCGCTGTCAAAGCGCACACACACATGTCATGGACTCATCAACGTGGGTGCCAGGTCATTCATTGTGTGGCCATATGGGTGGAGGCCTCACTCACCTGAAGGCTCTGTATCCGCCGAGCATGGTGAGTCCGGCACACTGGGTGACGGTGTTGTTGTCCCAGCCTGTCACACTGCCGCTGAAATCCTCCTTGTGCCACTGACACACGGATGACATGTGACACACAATCTCTCTCTCTGTCTGTCTCTGTGTGTGTCTCTCTCTTACGAGTCTCCACTGTGGCACGCCGAAAGACTTGAGCTCGCCCTCCACATCCAAAGACCTTCACACACGCACACGACATATGTCAAGACAGACAGACATTTCGTGTGTTTGTGCTGTGACATGTTACTTGACGAGAAGTCCGGAGGGGATGGTCAGTGTGTTATCGGTGCCGAGCGAGAGTGCAATCGTGCTGCCCCTCATTATGACGAACTCGCCGCTCGGCTTGACGCCCATTCGGTAGTCGCTGTCTGCCGACGGACCGAACGACACGAAGCCCGGCTGCCCGCTCACACTCACCACCCTCAGGCCGGGCACGGCCATCCCGCCTCGAGTTGCATCAGGTCGCACGCAGATGGACGGATCAGAGACACCAGCAGAGATGGGTGAGTCGGCATCCATACATCCATTTTAGGTCGCATACACAAGGACGTACTCACTCATCAATGCCGCTCAAATGAGACGCAGTGATGGCGATAGTATGTACAGTTAATTGTATCCATCAATTCACATGACAAACACCGCTACATCGTCAATGCCCCACGAAGCGTCACACGGGTCCACACTATCGTCAATCGTCGAGCCAAACACCACCTCCACCCCATCCCTGTCATGGGGCACCGTCACATCTATCGGCACAGACAGCCGGTCAGGTCGGGACTGCCCACACACATTGACGCCGTAACCTAGGCAGGCCGTGGTGTTGAAGGCCGTGCACCAATGGTACCTCTCCGACCATACCGGAGTCCCGTCCACCCGCAGGTAGAGGGACTCGCCACGCCACTCGTCCAGGAAGTGAGCCCGGGCTGTCAGTCGGATTCTGCTGTGGGCCGGCAGCCCCTGATAGGCCTTCGACACTACACCAGCAGCCAACTTGCAATGACCTGTCAAGGACACAGACAGCAGAATACCCCAATAGAAGGTGGGTGAGCGCATCCTCACCGCCAAGGAACACATCTGGTGTGCTTCCGCAGCGGGATTCCTCGTGACTGCTCCACTTGACCTTATCAGCGCCCGTGGACTCATCAAAGGTATCGAGGGCGATGAGCACCCATGGGTGTAGCCCCCCGATAGTCACGGGAGCCGTGGGGTTGACGCGGAGGTCAGCATCCAGCCGCAGCTTGTGGATGCCGACCGCAGTGTGATCCATGAGAATGCTGTTTGAGCCGGCGTAGAGGGAGAGGATGCCGGTGGAGTTGACGACGACGCCTGCAATGATCCCCACCTCACCTCCATTATCAGGAAGGAGCCCTGTCTGGAGGAAGCTGACGGTAGATCTGCCGACGCTGTCCTCCTTGACAGTGAGGGTGGTGCCCCATAGCGATGCGGGGAACGTCAACACAAGAAAAAAGAGCAATGCGCCGAAGGACATCATTGCTTCGCGGAGATATAGGATTTTGCGGGATGCATTCGTTTACAGCACAATGTAAACACTGATTCAGGGACCCTTTGCTGCCCGAATACCAGCAATACCTATGCAAGGATGCGAGAGGGAGTCGTCCGTCCTTGCCTTGGCCTTCTTTTTTGTAGTCCTTCCGTCCATTGCAGCCTCACGCTCCCCGACCATCAAGGGCCGGGTTGTTGTCGGGGAGGTGCACGTGGAGTCCATCAATGAACAGCCGGCCTGCATCAAGATGGGCACGGCAACGGACGGCTACAAGCTGTGCGTCAGTGAGGGCAGCGTCTTCACCATATCGAGGCAAGATGCGCCCCTTCTCATGATCACCAACGACAGTATGGTCCAAATCGCAGCGCCAGAACTCCTTGTCGAGTGAGCATCGAACATCGCCGCCAACTTCCACGGTCCCCCATCTGTCTGCCTGTGCGCGTGTAGGTCCCTTGACGTGACAAGAGGGTTGTTGGTGCAGGGGGTGCCGCAGTGGCGGATGTTATCGGAGGAGTCCTTTGCCGACGGGACGGCAGAAGGGTGGGACGCCAACGCAGTGACCCACTGCGCCGGTACATCCATGCTCGGCGGATACGGGGAGTTCGCACAGGTCAGCGAAACACATAAGAGCGAGGCGTCACTGTTCAGTGGATGCGTGCCCATGTGTGTGTAGAAAGAGGTATCGAAGGTGTTTTCGGGGCTTCCACCCCACTCGCACCTTAGAATAAAGGCCACGTTCCACTTCATCGATGACTGGGTCGGCGAAAGCGGATATATGAAAGCCAACATTGGCAGCGAAGGTATGTAGGCCTACATCATGCATTCAGTTTCATGTTACATTCACTTTCTGTCCGTCTGTGTGCAGGTGGGATGACGTTTGTGTGGACGGAGCGCCACACACAGGCGGAGACGGTCAATGGCGTCAATCTGTGTGGGGACGTCACTGCGAGCGAGGGCAAGTTCGCCGTGCCAGTGGACGTGGTGCTGCCACACAACCAGCCGACCGTCGCCCTCGCATTTGGTGAGCGGAGAACACAATCCGCACAATTCGGGCGGGCAGCATATGTGCCGTGGATTGTTTGTGTGTGGCAGGTAGCACGATTACTCAGAACAACCCGCTGCACCACTCATGGGGGGTAAGGGATGAGACGACGATGAGAATAAGACGCATCGGACCATTTGCCTTTTGTTTTGTGTGTGTGCTGCCGTGGTTGGTGTACAGGTGTCGGCGATAGAAATATACGTCAGATAGCCAACAAGACTGAGAGTGAGGCCATTTCTGCGCGTACATGTACGTGTACATGTGACCGATCGATGAATGTGTACATAAGACACACACAAGCAGAAGCAGACAAACACAATCAAAGCACTCAAAGCAATCAATCTATCCATCTATCACTCACTCAATCAGTCATGAAGACGATGCTCGCTCTGACAGCTCTCGCTTCTCTGCTGGTGTCTCTGATCGGTCCCTCTGCGTGCGACCTGATGTCTGGCCCGGCCACTCGAGGCGGGGTGGCCGTGCCCGGCCTTCGCGTCGTGAGTGTGAGCGGGCAGCCGGGCTTCGTGTCGTTCGGTCCGTCGGCAGACAGCGACTACCGAATGGGCGTCAAGCCGAGCGGCGAGTTCGTCATAATGCGGGGCGGCACGACGGCACTATCGCTTGGCACCGACAACACACTGACTATCCCCTCCGGACTTCTCGTCAAGTACAGACACACACACGCACAACACACAAACACACACACGAAATGTCTGTCTGTCTTGACATGTGTTGTGTGTGTGTGTGTGTGTGTGTGCGAAGGTCTTTGGATGTGGAGGGTGACCTCAAGTCATTCGGCGTGCCACAGTGGAGACTCGTAATGGACACACACACACACAGAGAGAGACACACACAGAGAGACAGACAAAAAGAGTGTGTGATGTCATTTGTGGTGTCAGTGGCACAAGGAGGATTTCAGCGGCAGTGTGACAGGCTGGGACAACAACACCGTCACGCAGTGTGCCGGACTCACCATGCTCGGCGGATACAGAGCCTTCAGGTGAGTGAGGCCTCCACCCATATGGCCACACAATGAATGACCTGGCACCCACGTTGATGAGTCCATGACATGTGTGTGTATGCTTTGACAGCGAGGGTGAGGTGTCGAAGGTCTTCAAGGGTCTGCCGCCACACTCGCACATCCGAATCCGAGCGACGTACTACTTCATCGACGCGTGGATAGGAGAGACCGGCTTTATGCGTGCGGACGTCGGCCGCAGCGGAGAGCTCATCCACGTGTGGACAGAGAGGCACAGCCAAGACCATGAGCAAGACGGGTACGCGGACGGATGGACGGACAGACAGATGGATGTTTGTGTGTTCTGTGTGCAGTGTGAATGTGTGTGGGGATCCATCGGTGTCTGAGGGCAAGTTCGCTGTGCCCATCGACATCTCATTCACACACACGGCAGACCAAGTCACAATCGCATTCGGTAACCACAACCACAAAGAGGGAGAGGGAGAGGGGTGCCTCCCTGCGATGTGTGTGTGGTGTCGCGTGTGTGTGTCAGGGTCAACGATGAAGGGCGTCTCGGCTGACAAGGAGAGCTGGGGCGTGTCCTCGATGGAAGTTTATGTCCAGTGAACTCAGCCACACGTATATGAGTGCTTGAATGAGTGAGTCAAGGAAAAGTCAGACGATGAACGACAATGCAGTCATGATGCATGAATCAATTCTGCGAAATTTGCACTCCGAATCAATTCTTCGGGCAGATAGGTGGGTAGGGGATCCATGTGGATGCAGAGATGGATCCATGGATGGATGGATGGATGGTCTAGACATTTGAATGACCACTTGCGAGCTTACACCAGCTGGCCTGGATGGATGTGACATCTTTTATGTGACTTCCATCCAGGCACAAGTAGGTCACCAACACAAACATACGCGAGCCGAGCAAGGTCTAGAAGTGCTGTCTATCCTCCGCAGTATCCCTCCACACACCCAACCACAGCTGCCGTCAGATCTGACAACACACACAGAGGGAGAGAGACGGTTGGTGACGCGCCCATTTGTCTGTCGTTCAGTGTCCTCACCTAAATAAAGGTCACGTGCGGCGCTCGACCAACAAGTACGGGATTGACGCATTGCTATCAACGAAGCTGAGCTTGTATGGCCCCCCGCCGAAGTTGGGGCCGGCCTGCTCAGCCAGGAAACGCCGCTCGAAGTCCCGGCACATGGTGTTTCCAGGAAACGTCCCATGCAGAGCATCGGTGTCGTATAAGTACACTTTGGTCCTCTCGTGCCCCTGTCATTCATTCAAGCAACATGACAGTGGCCACACAGTGATTGCCCGACAGTCATCTGTATGTGGTGTGTTGTGAGGCGCACCTTGAGCTCATTGCTGAATGAGGCCACTGCGGCCATCACGCGCCCGTAGAAGGTCTCCAACTCGCCATCGTCTACCTCGCCTGAAAGGAATGAACATTGACACCGCACACAGACAATACGACTGCTGGTTGTCACACGCCTTCCCATGCCCGCTCACCCACAATATTGACAGACACTTCCTTGATCGGCGGCAGCTTCTTGTTGCTGTCCCGCCCCCACAGTGATGGACTCCCCCCATCGGCCAGGGGTGCGGTGAATGCATTGGTCGGCAGAAACATCTCCACCGACAGGCTCTTCTGTTGCTCCCTGCTGACCAGCGCCGTCTGCAGCCTCTCGAGGAACCCCCACACCTCACCAGCCGGGACCTCGCGTGTGGCGTGGATGGAGGACAGGTCGGGTATGTGGGAGGCGATCTGGAGGGCCCGCTCCTTCTTCTGGTCAGAGATGGGGGCGCCGACAGACAGCGACAGTGTGTGTGCGAGGGGGAATGTGTCGTCCGTGATGGCCACAGGATGGGTCGCGTCGCCTCCGCTGTAACCTACGACGCCGGCTGTCTTGGCGAATTCATCGACGATCCTCTGTGCGGTCGGAGTGCCGGCGCTGCTGCTGCGTGAGAGGAGCTCGGCGGAGATACGTCCAGCCCCGCCACAGTCGCGCACAATGCGCTGCGACAACCCCTGAGGATGAACGACGGCGTCACTGCAAAATTACACCAAGACACAGAACATTTGGTGTATGTCACAAACATTTGGTGTATGTCACGTGTACCTGACCCCTTCCTCTTCTTGTGTGTCCTTACACGAAGTGTGCGGTCTTCTGCAGTCTCTCCCAGTGATCGTCTGTGTTCTGCAGAGCAGGACCCAGATTGATCTTGAGCTCGCGAATGGACCGCCGGATGCCCCTCGCTACCAGCACCTCACGCAGCATGTCGATCTCGGCGGGGGAGGCATTCACACCCACCCGTACGCCCCGTAGTGTGCGAAGCGCTGCGAGCGATGAGCCGACTGGCAGCACACGCAGCACATTGGCCGGCGTGCCGGCCAAAAAGGCGAGGTCCAACACCTCCATGGCCTCACAGTCGCCCAGCCACGCCGTCCAGCAATCCTCCCCTGGCGCAGCATTCCAGCCTCGGGGGGTGAGGGTCTTGACAGCGGGTGTCCGCCACTGGCGGCCCACGCGAGCCGCCAGGCACGCGGTGAGGATGTTCTCGACCGTCCTGAGTGCCGGCAGATGAATGGGGGCGGTGGGGGCGGGGGGCAGAGCAGATGAGGGCGCAGGGTGGGGGATGCGAATGCTGAGCTTGACGGCCTCGAATGACAGCTTCTCCAGTGTGCCCTCATCCAACTGGCAACCGTCATCGTCTCGCATCGCCGCAGCAGATGCCGCCTCCCCTCCCTCCCTGTCTCGTCTCTCCTTCGCTGCGATGGCCGCCCGGCCAATCGAGTGACCTTCCACCACGGCCACCCACGTCCCGCGGCACCATTGGCCCCATTCGGGGTGCCGCATCCTGATCTCGCGGACGTTGGTCGCCCTCTTGCCCCATCTCTGCGCCACAGGCCGCGGCATCTTCTCCCACATGCAACTGGCCGTGTCGTCCTCACAGTCGATGACCAGTTTGGTGTAGTTGGCGGCCGACTGATGGAAGAGGGGCGTGCCGAGACGCCGGCGGTGGCGCGCCAGCTCCCACGGCTGCAGGTGGCCGTACACGTTGGCCAGCTCATCGCGGGACAGGCGAAGACGAGCCTGAAATGAAAAACAGAGAGGACAACCAAACGTGACGGGCTGATTGTATCAATCGTGAGTGGTCCTTACCGGTACTTGGCCCACGGGAGGATTGTTGCCGCTTCGATGGATCAGACGATACGATGGGCCACCAGTGTCCACAGGCGCCTGCAATGCAATAAGACAACACGACAGCCACAACAAGGCAGAGGGCGGATCCATGCACAGACGACGGCAGACGGCCAGCCACTCCACTCCACTCCACCCCACCCTACCTGTGGCTCTGTGTCTGCCGATCCCGATGCAGCAGCAACCTCGGTGGTCGATTTGGGTGCATCTACAGCTCCAGTACTGGTGAGGCTGGGCCCTCCCTGCTGGAGCCGGCTCGTGAGGGTGCACAGCAGTGGGGCTACCGAGCCCAGCTGATCAATCGACGACACAGCGAGCGGCTCCTCGGCAATGTTTCTCAGCAGTGAGTGTAACCCACTTGTGCGGCGATGGTGGCGGGATCTTGGTCGAGAAGCAGCACCAAGCTGTCCTTCACCGCACGAGCATTCGCAACAAACTGAACAAACGCAGAAAGGACCAATCACATCACATCAGAAAGAGCGATCGAAAGGTGGCTGCGCTTCTCTTTTCTGTGGTTGTGTGCCCTCTCCCGCTGGTCCCACTCCATGGGTCCCACTCACCTGATTGACATCCATCGTCAGGTGTGCTGCCGATGGAGAACCAGCCACAAGCCTACCAAACAGCGAAGGCGGCAGCAATCGCGCCGTCGTGATGAGTCGAATGCGCGCGAACAGTCTACTCTTTTACTCTCGGCTCGCACTGAAGGTACACGGTTAGTGTCCCTTTCTTTCGAGGGAATCACACAAATGACAATCACATCGTTTGCGTTGCGTGGCAAAGTATGGAAACGACAACATCCTCCAAGCACGCGGATGGGCACTGCCAAAACAGCAGCACAGCACATGGATGTATCAAGATCGAAAGCGGGACGACCACACACACACACACACACACGGAAAATCAGACAGATGGATGGATAGACAGATGGATGGATAGAGTATGGGTGTGGTGGCTTAGAGAAAGAATACATAGATAGCTGCCAAGCCGCCGCATGCACTGCACGCGAATCCGGCCACCGGGCTGCATACACACACACACACACACACTCGGCGGCCGTCCATCCGTCCAGTCGTCTGTCTACTCTTCGTGCGTACCTGAGTGACCGCTGATGGGAGCGGACGGCGCTCTCTATAGCCACACAGGGGTGCATCAAGCACACCACCCCCTAAGGCCACTCACGTGCCCTCTCCCCCCCGCTCATCCAACCGGCTCCGCATCAGTGCGATGTCATCGGGAAATGTCCGGCAGCAGCCGCCCACAACACTCACGCCCCCATCGACCCACCCACCCACATAATCCGCCAACCCGCCCGCACCACCACCTCGAGGGCCACACCACGAGTGCGTGTGTGTGTCCCATTGCTCGCCACTGTTGGGGTAGGCGATCAACCGCACAGAGCCCATGTGGGAGGGGGCAAGGGGGCTGGGGTCGCACAAGAGAGGGATGATGACGTCGGGCGAGCTGCAGTTGACGCCAATGCCGCACAGGAAACGGTCGCGGGCGTCAAGCTGCAAATAAACATGCCATACAGGACCATGTGGCAGAGGAGGGAACAGCGCGGTGCCTCTGTTGTTCTGCAGCTTACTTGGAGCATCTCATTGACGGTGTCGCGGAAGCTCTCGCCGCAGCAAATGGTGCTGCCAGAGCTGGTGAAGAACACACACGCAGCCAGACGACGATCGTCATTCTTGGGGGTACCCACACGCATCGACTCACACACACGTACACACCTGCAGCTGAAGGACAGCCACACACATCCTCTCAGGTCGGGGAACTCCCGAAGCACACCCGACACAATCACCTGCACCCATCCATCCATCCATCCACAAACACACAATCAACTGCGCCGCTCTTGCCTTGGCTTCTGTCCGGTCAGGGACGGTCTCAAACACAATGCCATCGACCTTGCCGGTCTCCAACAGCACAGCCAGCCGCTCCCTGTGGAAGTCGCGAAGCACGTCAGGATCGACGCCATAGTTGCCCCGATACTCTGCCCCGTCAGCCAGATAGGCTGCACACACACACACACATAACACAGCAGCAACAACGACATGGGCCAGCCATCATCCAGATGGCTGTCTTGTTTGTCGCTCACCTCCGTAAGGGCCACATGACCCGATGATCAGTTTGTCGGCGTCCTTTCCTGTCCGCTGCCCGTTGAGACCTCGCGCTTCGACCGCCAAATCGATGGCCCTGTGGAAGAGCGCTCGGCTCTCGGATGGGCTCAGACCTGTCAGTGACACAGATACGTCACATGTACGTCACATCAGACAGGCAATGAGCGAACGGCGCGCTAGTCTAGAGCCGCCCATTGCATTGCGTGGGTGTGTACCTTGCTGTGCGAAACCTGGGAACGACGCCTGATGACAGGTGTGCGTGCAGTCAGGGCCACCCACCCATCCATGCCACTCACGTACGTCATCAGAGGTGCTCGCATTGCCTGGTAGGTCGATGTAATGGCGACGTCGGCCCCTGAATGAAACATACACATGGACGATGTCAGCAGGTGTATCGCAGACAGTCTGGTCAGTGCAGATCGCACAGCCAGACAGCCGCACCCACCTGCGTCGAAGAAGCGAAGGTGGGCGTCACGGATGGCCGCCGGATTCTGCACAGAAAGCATGTTCATGTCACTGACCTCATTCATCTATCAGTCCATCCATCCGTGCTGTGCTGTGCATGCTTCCCTTGCCTCAGTGAGTAGCCGTGCGCTCCACAGCGGGTGGTTGAGGTCATATCCCTGCCGCTCCAGCTCCGTCGCCAGGCCTCCGTCCAGCAGCACAACCGGATGCGAACGCATGAAACCCTCCATCACGATAGTGGGGGGAGCACCCAGTGCAGCCAGAGCTACTCACGTTTCTTCAACAGGATGTTGGAGATCAGCATTCTTAGCTCGCATTCATCCCAGGGCACATGATGCCGGTTTCCTCTACAGGCCACGAGATGGCCATGAAATGAGGCAGAACAGGCGGATCTGGAGAGCAAGCAGCCGGATCTTCGTCGAGAAGCAGGATGCCGTTGGGTGTGTTGATGGTGGCTGAGAAGCCGTCCATCAGCGACACCATCGCGTCCATCCTCTCACACGGCAAGAAGACCTCGAGGAAAGGGGTAAGTCAGTCGGTCAGCCAGCCAGCTGTATGCTCAGATGATGCCAACGGCTGATGTGATTGATTTCATTCTGGCTGGTGCAGATCTCGCCTGCGAGTCCGGTTCACGAGTACCAGGGGACATTTCGCGGCCAAGGTATGGGTGTACAGGTGGATGGATGGATGGATGGCACGCGCGACGCTGTGATGGTCTGCATGCCTGTGTGTGCGTGTGATCAGCGGCGCACTTCAAGGTGACGTCAACCACGGTAACGCTGCGCTCACGAAATGGGCACAGATGGGCCGATGGATGTCCTTTGTGTGTGTTGGTGTGTTGTGTGACAGGGCCACGTCTACACGACCGACTTCCCTCCCGAGTATCAACGATGGGTATGATTCAGACACGCCGCCTCCTTCAGGGCGAATGTCTGTGTGTGTGTGTCTGTATACGTGTCTGTCCCCCCAGGACCGCACCGATCCGCTGACCCTCTTCGACGCACCTGTGATCAAGAAAGAGGCCAACGAAAAGGTCACAAACCCCGGATGAACACACGCATCGCATCATCCATCTGTCTGTTGATGTGTGTGTGTCTGTGTACTCATTCAACAACCCCAGACCCGGCTGCCCAAGCATCTTGCCTCGGAGGCCCGCGGCTGCCACCACGTCGTGCTGTGGCTCGACTGCGACAGAGAGGGGGAGAACATCTGCTTTGAGGTGCTAGAGTCAGTCGAACCAAACCTCGTCAGATCGGGCAACCAAACCAATGTAAGCACCTTGGCCCACACTCTCTCTCACACACACCCACACACAAGCACAGACATCAGCCATCGTGGTGTGTGTATTGACTGCAATGCAGGTGTGGCGCGCGCGTTTCTCGTCTCTGGCTGCGCCCGACATCCACAAGGCGATGGGCAGCCTTGTGGCGCCCAACAAGAACGAGGCGCAGGCCGTGGATGCGCGGCAGGAGTTGGACCTCAAAGTGGGCGTCGCATTCACGCGGTTTCAGACGCAGTACTTCCAGGTGATGGATGGATGGATGGATGGATGGATGGGCCATGCTCAGCTCCTCACTCTCTGTGCGTGTGTGTGTTTAGGGCAAGTACGGTGATCTGGACAGCAGCTGCGTGTCGTATGGCCCCTGCCAGACGCCCACTCTGCAGTTCTGCGTCAAGCGATATGACGAGATCCAGACGTTCCAGCCGGAAACCTACTACTGCGTACGTCTTCAACAACCAGACAGACACACAAGCAGACAGACACACATGGCATCGTGTGTGTACGTGTCGTCAGATCAACGTTTCTCTGAAGGTGAGCGACTACGACATGACCTTAGAGTGGGAAAGAGGCCGCGTCTTCGACCAAGTCATCGCAAACACCTTCCTCCAAATCGTGGGCATCCATCCATCCATCCATCCACACACACAGAAGCAGACAGACCAACACCCATACATGTCCTTCTCTCTCCCTCTGTGTGTGCAGGTGCGTGAGAGCAGTGCGGCAGCAGAGGTGCTGGACATCAGCGAGAAGGAGGAGCGGCGCGCGAGGCCGACGGCGCTTAACACCGTGGCCCTGCTCAAGGCCGCCTCGTCCGGACTCGGAATCGGACCACACCAGGCCATGCAGGTCAGCCCTGAGGGTGGTCTCACAGACACAGACACAGACACAGACACCTCCCATGTCATGTGTGTATGTGTGTGTCAGGTAGCAGAGCGACTGTACCTATCCGGGTACATCACCTACCCTCGGACAGAGACCAACCAGTACCCCCCCAACTTCGACCTCCGCAAGACGGCGGCAGAGCAGTCCAGCCACCCCATGTGGGGCGCCTACGTCAGGGAGCTGCTGCAAAAGGGACTCGCCAAGCCCAGAGAGGTAAGATGATGAGATCTGGCGGGATCTGGCGGGCACATGCACAGCGACAATGACCGTCTCCGGTGCGTGTGTGATGCCGTCCGTCGCTCTTAGGGTCATGATGCGGGCGACCATCCGCCGATCACGCCAGTGCGTTGTGCGACGGAGGGCGATGTGGGTGGGGGCGATGCGTGGCGTGTGTATGAGCTGGTCACCCGGCACTTCTTGGCCACCGTCAGCCCCGACTGCAAGTTCTGGCGGACTCGTGTGCGGTTCGACATCAACGGGGAGCGATTCAGCGTCGCTGGTACGACACAGATATGGATGGATGGATGGATGTGTGTGTGTGTGTGTGTGTTGGCTGCGTGCATGGGCAGGCCGCCGTCTGATTGATCCCGGGTTCACGGGTGTGCAGAGGTCGGGAGAGATGCAGGACATCCCCCTGCCCAAGTTCCAGAAGGGCGACAAAATCGTGCCGTCGAGTGTCAGCATATCGGTGCGGGGCATCATCATCACACCACTCACATGGTGGTAGCTCTTTATGTGTGTGTGTGTGCGCAATAGAGTCACAAGACCAGCCCGCCCGACTACTTGTCCGAGAGTGAGCTGCTGGGTCTGATGGAGAAGTACGGCATCGGCACGGACGCCTCCATGCCCACACACATCAACAACATCTGTGAGAGGAACTACGTGCAGCTGGTCAGCAAGAAGACACACGCACACACCGACAGACAGACAGACAGACAGACACCCACACACACCTTTGTGCAGGTGGGCAGTCGGCGTCTGGAGCCGACCAAGTTGGGTGTGGCTCTGGTGCACGGCTATCACATGATCGACTCTGAGCTGGTGCTGCCCACCGTCAGGGCCACAATCGAGTCGCTCGTCGACCTCATTGCAAAAGGCAAACAAACTACTCGGACACAAACACACACACACACACACACACGCCCTGACAGAGAGAGAGAGAGAGAGAGCTGTCTGCGTGTGTGCAGGGAAGGCCAACATGCAGGCGGTGGTGGCGCACTCACTGAGGATGTTCAGAATGAAATTCGAATACTACGTCAAGAAGGTCCGTATGCACACCTCCCCTCCCTCCCTGCCTCCCCACACCGCCCCACACCGCCCCACACCACCCCCCACACACGTGGATGGATGTGTGCGCAGATTGAGCTGATGGACGGTCTGTTCGAGGCCACCTTCACCACCCTGGCCTCGACGGGCCAGGCCATCAGCCGGTGCGGCCACTGCAAGCGCTACCTCCACCTGATCGACAAGCGGCCCACTCGGCTGCACTGCCGACACTGCAACGTCACTTATGCCGTGCCGCAGGGGGGATCCATCAAGGTCGGTGGCTGACAGACAGACGGACATATACAGATTGATGCACCCGTGTGTGTGTGTGTGTGTGTTCATGCAGTTGTACAAGGAGCTTAAGTGTCCTCTCGATGAGTTTGAGCTGGTGCTCTTCACTGTCAAGGGTATGCATACGGGTAGAAACAGGGGAGAGATGGATGGATGGATGTGTGTGTGTGTGTGTGTGTGCGTATGTTGATGAAGGCGGCAAGAGCCATCCGCTGTGTCCTCTGTGCTACAACGACCCACCATTCGGCAAAGACACAACCGCATCACGCCAAAGTGAGTGTAACCCCCCGCCCCGCCCGCACCCACCATGCGATGAGGTGTGTGTGGGGTGTGTGGTGGCCGTTCAGAGGGCATGTCGTGTGTCGACTGCATGCACCCGACGTGTAAGCACTCCATCGCGGCCGTCGGGGTCATCAACTGCCCACAAGAGAACTGTAAGCCGCCATATGGGACGAGAGAGAGGCGATTTGATTGACCGGTAAACGTGTTATGTCTTGGTGCTGCAGGCAGCGGCACGCTCTATCTTGACGTCAACTCAGCGGTGAGTGAGCAACAGCCAAGGAACGAACACGCCGGCGTAGGCTTCACTTCATACCCCCTCCCTCTTTGTGTTGGTGCGTACTCTTCGCATGGTGATCGATCCATCGCCTCGCAGCCTAAGTGGTAAGAAGGCACCGAACACACGCAGAGAGGCACCGTAAGCTGCACAAGACAGACCTGTCTGAGGTGCTTGCTGCAGGAAGATGGACTGCAACGTCTGCAACTACCAGCTCAAGCTCATCGAAAACGCACACAGTCAGTCGTATAGCCATCCACACACACACACACCACACCCTTTGTCGTGTGCCTCTGTCTGTCTGTGTGTGCAGAGATATCGGTGTCTCAGGACAGCTGCGACTCCTGCAGCGCGAGCCTGCTCGACGTGGTCTTCAACAAGAACAACACGCCCCTCAAGGACGGCTCGTGCGAGACCACCGCCTGCATCGTGTGCGACCCCCTCCTCAACTCCTACGTCGAATCAACGTACACATAGCAACCCTCCCCCCCCCCTCTCCCCTCCATGCACACGCACCCACCATCTCTCTCTCTCTCTCTGTGTGTGTGTGTGTCAGGTTTGGGCGGATGCGTGCGCGTGGATCAGGGAGGGGGCGTGGGAGAGGGAGGGGGCGGGGTAGGGGGAGAGGCCGCGGGAGGGGCCGGGGCGGCCGCGGGGGCAAGGCTGCCGACCCACGGATGACTTTCGATGGCTTCTGACCATTGCATACACATGGATGGATGGATGGACGGAGACAGACAGGCAGACAGGCTGGCAGACAGTCGGTGTGCAGAGTACATTATTTGTCATGGCCTTATGGGTTGGTCACGAGCAACGGTCTGCAGGCGCTGTTCATCACGTGCTTGTTGAAGAGTATACACGTCAGTAGACGGCTGGACACGGGTAGGGGGAAGAGAATACAAACAAATCGCACTGTCAGTGCAGTCCACACCGCCTAGAGGGTGTATTGACCCCCCGACTTCCTCAGTCGGCCTGCAAAGCGCCGCGAGAAAGGTTCCTCTCATCCTGGCCGACTGGCCAGGGAGACATCGCTGGACAGTCAAAAAAGCTCGCACAGTAAGCTCGCGTTTTGTCGCCAAAGGGTTCTGTGGCATTCCGCCACAACAGGCGCAGAGGTGCCTGACAGCAGCCGCACTCCGGTTTTGCTTGTCAAGACACGATGTCTTTGAGCCGGCTGAGGCATCCCGTGGGCGCAATGCTGAGATCTCATGCAGGGCGGCAGCTGGGCAACGCACTGGTGGGGGGGAGAGCGGCGTGGCAGCCCGCCGCGCCACTGGCGACGGTCATGGGGTCGAGATGGCTCAGGTGAGAGATGACGGGCGGCTCACACGAGCTCAGACAGGCACAGCAATCGGGAGGAATGCATCCCTCACTCAGGTGTGTTGTCTTCTCTTCCCCCATCTGTGTGTGTGCAGCACGAGTGCCCCCCGGCACAATAAGGTGAGTGGCGATGTGATCGGTATCGACCTGGGGACGACCAACAGCTGCGTGGCCATCATGGAGGGCTCCCAGCCCAAGGTCATCGAGAACGCCGAGGGCCTCCGTACCACACCGTCCATGGTGGCATTCACAGACGACAACCAACGCCTTGTCGGCATTGTCGCGAAGCGACAGGTACGCACCTTAAGGTGTCCTTCCATCTCTCTCTCTCGTCCACGTGTGTCTGGTGATGGTGATGTGCAGGCCGTGACTAACCCCGAGAACACGGTGTTCGCCACGAAGCGTTTGATCGGTCGGCGGTTCGACGACCCCAACACCAAGAAGGAGATGGGCATCCTGCCCTACAAGATCGTCCGTGCCAACAATGGCGATGCCTGGGTGGAGGCACACAGCCAGCAGTTCTCGCCCAGCCAAATCGGTCAGCCCTTTCTCAGTATTATGGTAGAGTGAGTGTCACAATGTCACCTGGGTGGGATGTGTGTGCAGGTGCGTTCGTGCTGACCAAGATGAAGGAGACCGCCGAGGCCTACCTGGGCCGGCCTGTCAAGCAGGCCGTGGTTACCACCCCGGCCTACTTCAACGACTCACAGAGACAGGCCACCAAGGACGCCGGACGAATCGGTATAAGCGCGCACCCACACGCACTGAGGGAAGGGCACAGGCAGCACAGTGAGGTGTGTGTGTGTGTGATTGTGTGTGCAGCTGGTTTGGATGTCCTGCGTATCATCAACGAGCCGACCGCCGCTGCTCTCGCCTTCGGTCTCGACAAGGCTGGCGATGGTGAGCAGACACCCTCCCACACAATGGTGTTTTGCCCATGGCCCTCCTCTGCTTGTGTGTATCATGGCGGGCAGGCAAGACAATAGCCGTGTTTGATTTGGGTGGCGGCACGTTCGACATCTCCATCCTGGAGATCTCGGGCGGCGTCTTCGAAGTCAAGGCCACTAATGGCGACACCTCACTCGTACGCTCTCGTGCACACACGCCTCACCCAACCACCACACTTCGATGGCTGGTGTGTGTGTCAGGGAGGTGAGGACTTCGATCAGCGCGTGTTGAACCACCTGATCGCCGAGTTCAAGAAGAGCAACGGCATCGACCTCTCCAAGGACCGCCTCGCCCTCCAGCGGCTCAGAGAGGCCGCAGAGACCGCCAAGATCGAGCTGTCCAGCAAGGTCCAGACAGAGATCAACCTGCCCTTCATCACGGCTGACCAAAGTGGACCGAAGCACCTGCAAATCAAGCTTACCCGGGCCACATACGAGTCCTTGGTCGAGGAGCTGCTGAAGAAGACGATCCCGCCCTGCGAGCAGTGCATCAAGGACTCGGGCGTCAAGAAGACCGACATCAACGACGTCATCCTGGTGGGCGGCATGACCCGCACGCCGAAGGTGCAGGAGATCGTCAGGGACTTCTTCGGCAAAGACGCGTCCAAGGGCGTCAACCCCGATGAGGCCGTCGCCATGGGAGCCGCCATCCAGGTGCGTACGGATCGCCCCCCGCCCCCTCTCCCTCCCTCCCTCCCTCCCTCTCTGATGCGGTGTCTGTGTGGTGTTCACTCAGGGTGGCGTGTTGAAGGGTGACATGAAGGACATTCTCCTGTTGGATGTGACGCCCCTGTCCTTGGGCATCGAGACCTTGGGCGGCGTGTTCACCCGACTGATCAACCGCAACACCACCATCCCCACCAAGAAGTCGCAGGTCTTCTCGACCGCTGCCGACAACCAGACACAAGTACACCCAGCACACCACACACACATACGACCCTAGCATCCCGACGCAAACCATCTCTCTCTTCGTCTGTGTGCGTGTGTGCAGGTGGGGATCAAGGTGTTCCAGGGTGAGCGCGCGATGGCGGCGGACAACAAGATGCTGGGCCAGTTCGACCTGATCGGCATCCCCCCCGCCCCCCGCGGCGTGCCGCAGATCGAGGTCACATTCGACATCGACGCCAACGGCATTATGCACGTCTCTGCCATGGACAAATCAACCGGACGCAAACAGGTCTGTCGGACGCAAGAATGACGACCGAGGAGAGGGAAAATGTGTGTGTTGTTGTTATGTTGCTCTTCTGCGTTATCAATCAGAATATCACAATTCAGTCCAGCGGCGGTCTGAGCGATGTCGATATCGAGAAGATGGTCCAGGACGCTGAGTCGTACAAGTGAGGAGGGAGGGGAATGGCCTCACACACATCCTAAGACAGACAGAAAGGCCCTCGATCATTGTGCGGTACCTTTCCCTTGCCCACGGTCTGTTGCTACCAGGGATATGGATCAGAAGCGTCGCGAGGCGGTGACCGTCAAGAACGACGCCGAGAGCCTCATCTACTCGTGCGAGAAACAACTCGCAGACTTCAGGGTGCATTGCCATCCCCCCCTCCCTCCCCAGCACGCACACTGACCCCCATGTCTGTCTGCTGTGTGCAGGACAAGGTGTCCCAGAACGACAAGGACGAGATGGAGGCCAAGATCAGCAAGCTCCGTGACGTCATGGGCGGGGACGACCCCGACCCCATCAAGGACGCCCTCAAGGAGCTCCAGGAGGTCTCATGGAGAGTCTCACAGGCCGTATACAGCCAGGTAAGGAGACTAACCCCCCCCCCCCC